CTGCTACAACATCAACTACACCTAAAGCACAAACAACAACTGAAGCACCAACAACTACAACACCTACACCAACAACCACAACTCAAGCACCAACAACTACAACTGCTGCACCAAAAACCACATCTCATGCACCAACAACTACTACTGCCACTACAACCACAACTCAAGCACCCTCAACTTCAACTGCTACACCACCAACCACAACTAAAGCACCAACAACTACAACTGCAGCACAAACAACCACAACTCAAGCACCAACAACAACAACTGCTACACCAACAACCACAACTAAAGCACCAACAAGTCAAGCACCAACAACTCCAACTGCACCACAAACAACCACAACTCAAGCACCAACAACTACAGCTGCTACAACAACAACTATGTCTAAAGCACAAACAACAAGTCAAGAACCAACAACTAGAAATGTAGGACAAACAACCACAACTCAAGCAAGAACAACTAAAACTGCTGCACCAACAACCAAAACCCAAGTACCAACAACTAGAACAGCTACACCAACAACCACACCTCAAGCACCTTTAACTAAAACTGCTATACCAACAAACACAACTAAAGCACCAACAACTTCAACTGCAGCACCAACAACCACAACTCAATCACCAACAGCTGCACCAAAAATCACAACTCAAGCACCAACAACTACAACTGCTACACCACTAAATACAACTAAAGCACCAACAAGTCAAGCACCAACAACTGCAACTGCTGCACTAAGAACCACAACCCAAGCACCCTCAACTACAACAGCCACACCAACAACCACAAGTCAAGCACTAACAACTACAACTGCAGGACAAACAACTACAACCCAAGCACCAACAACTATAACTGCTACACCAACAACAACAAGTCAAACGCCAACAACAACTGCTACACCAACGACCACAACACAATCACCAATAACTTCAAAAGCTTCACCAAAAACCACAACTAAAGCACTAACAACTACAACTGCTACACCACCAACCACAACTAAAGCACCAACAAGTCAAGCACCAACAACTACTACTGTAGCACTAACAACATCAACTCAAGCACCAACAACTGCAACTGCTACACCAGCAACCACAACACAAGCACCAACAAGTCAAGCACCAACAACCACAACTGAAGCACAAACAACTACAACTGCTAAACCAAAAACCACAACTCAAGCACCAACAACTACTACTGCTACAACAACCACAACTCAAGCACCAACAACTACAACTGCTACACCAACAAGCACAACCCAAGCACCAACAACTACAACTGCTACACCAATAACCACAACTGAAGCACCAACAACTGCAGCTGCTACAACAACAACTACAGCTATAGCACAAA